ACAAATTTAAGCAAATAGTTTTACTTCAGGTCGCGGGAACTTAGTGCTGCAATCAAGAATCTGAATGAAATTCCTGGCAAAATACAGCTATTAGAAGCACAATGAAAGCAGAATTGAAATGTCCCAGCCTCCTGCAACATTAAGAGGAAGTCTGGTTAATTTCAAAATTATATTTGGGCTCAAATGCAAAGGGTTCTTTTTCATACGGGCAGAGAAAATAGACTAAAGATCATTACAATAACCACACACGTCTGGGAATGCAATTATAAAATAAACCATACCCTGGCAGGCAAATTATTTTAATGTGTTTCAAGAATTGAATACTCTGTATGGAATTAAAAACAAAGAAAAAAAGCATCATGCAGAATATTAATTAAAAAGAGGTAAGACAGAAAAGCGTTGAATGTCATAAAATCACAAATACAAAAGCAGCAAATTAAAACACACACACAGTTACAGATTTCAGTGACATCAGCAGCCAGAACATACCCAACGAATTACTTACTCATTAAATACTTTATTGATTTTCAAAGGGGGCTGGTGGTTGATGATTAACTCAATCAATCCAAGGGACATTAAGCTTCCTTTCAATACATGCAAACTGTAAAGACAGCTTCAAGTAACTTTGAAAAGGTGGGGTTCGTTTTCTCAAAGAAAACTGACACAGAAGGGTGTATCCCCTCTACTCTTCCACCATGAAATTTGTACATTCATTCAACTCTTGTAACTAAGGCAACCAAAGGACAATTTCTTGAGACCCCCAAACACCCTCAGAAGCCACAAATTCTATCTATGTAAAAAAACAAAACAAAGAAATGAATAACCTCTAGAGTGGAAGATGATGATTCTGCAAAGTGCAAGGATGGTTTGCTGTTTTTTGCTTTTATGAATTTCATGTTCAGATTTCTTTAAAAGAAGGGGTGGACAGGAGGAGCCCAGGACCCCAGCCAGACGTGTGATGTAGAAATGACCCGTATGAGAAAGGTGATACAGGTATCAGCCCTCAGGCGTCTCTCCAGCTCTGTGCACAACACTGAGATAGGAGCTTCAGAAGAAAGACAGAACCTCTTAAGGTAGTTTAAGTGTCCTCCTGGTGAGCCAGTGACCTCTTGCTCAGCTGGGGGCCATGTGTGACCTTATGAGATTCAAGAGTTGTGGCAGATCAGTCACAGAGAAGGGCAAGACTCAAGACAAAGCCACGTGAGGCGAGGGCCTGATGCTGACCACAGGACACTTGTTGTCTGGCACAAATCAAGGGGTGGGAGGTAAGGGGTGAGGTGGGAAACCCCAGTTGGCATTCTACAAAATGGTTATTAGCAAATTGTATCAAAAAGTATCAAAACATTTCAAAAACCTCTAAAAACTGCCAGGCTTGGCAGATGCACAGGTCAGGGTCTCCCAAGTGCCTGTAGAGCTGTCCTACCTCCAGGCACTTGTCCTGGAGGCCAGGATGACAGCCCCTCTTCCCACCCCCCACAACATTCAGAGTACACGGAGACGCCAGGAGGTCCAGACCATAGCTGCTGGTCCAGGTGTGGGACCAGCAGGCTGAGATTTGAGCCAAAGGCCATGAGGTGCTACTTGGGCTGGTGCCAGCCAAGCTCCACACCATGGAGGACCAGGGTCAAGAATGAAGGTTGGTCACTCTACAAGGGGGTGGTAGAGGGTAGGGGTCCTTTCACTTCCCACATGGCTGCAAATCACTGACGGGTCACTCTTGGTTTCGGGGCCGAGGTACTTTGAGCCACAGGTTAATGCACCTGAACTCACAGAGAAGGACTCCACTTCCCTTTGGCATTTGGGTTCCCACCCCAAAACTGAACACCCCTTAGGGTTCATTTCTGGGATCTCTACTAAGTAATGGTGAGGTCATCTGATTATTAAGGGGCAAGGGGAAGGGCATTTAGAACACAATACATACATGTGGTTCTGCTCAGATCAAGGTCTAGAAGTCCTACCTGGTAATTTTACTAAAATGGCAAAATGTTAAAAATACCAACGGACTGCTAAGCTAAGACAATCTATGTACATTTTAAACAGCAGGAAGACTGCTGTAAGTGAGTGTAAGTGCGTTACCCAGCTTTCTACTCTCCCTCCCTTCTATCATTACCTTTATGTCTTAAGCAAATAGGCCTCCAACTTGGGTGCCTCCAGGATAAATCACACCTAAAACCTACAACTAATATGAAGTTAAAACCCTAATTCTCAAAACCTGAATAAAAGCCTGCCATGCTTATTTTGAAAGACCAAACAAACAAACAAAGATCCAGGTATTCTCAAAGTTCAAGCGGAACAGCTTGGAGCATTGATAGTTTAACAACAAAACGGCAAAAGTGGCTGTTTTCAGCCTTCGTTACTGTGGTTTGAAACCACACTATTGTGACTGTGCAGTTCAAATGGCCTCCTCCATAAGCACAGCCCCAAGCTCTACCCATCAGATTTAAAAAACATTTTCTTCCATTCTTAGTTGGGTGGCACAACAGTGAATTTCTAACTTACAAGCAAATGTAACAAAAACCTGGCCCAGGCATGACCACTTCATTCTCCTGTGCCCATGCAGACACTGCTTGTCACCTGCTATGGGCCTTTCCATCGACCCTAAGAAGCTCGAAAACCTTTCCTACAGCACAGTAGTAGTCACCATTAACTATTTAAAGTTGGTTCACAAGATAAAAAAAACTTACCACTCAATCCTCCCTTTTGAGGATTCTCAACCTCAACAGTAATAGATTCTAGGCCATGTAAATTCCAAACTGCCTTAATAGTGTCAGGACAGACATCACAAAATATTAGCTGCAGGACATCGTGCTATGGGCCTTTCCATCGACCCTAAGAAGCTCGAAAACCTTTCCTACAGCACAGTAGTAGCCACCATTAACTATTTAAAGTTGGTTCACAAGATAAAAAAACCTTACCACTCAATCCTCCCTTTTGAGGATTCTCAACCTCAACAGTAATAGATTCTAGGCCATGTAAATTCCAAACTGCCTTGACAGTGTCAGGACAGACATCACAAAATATTAGCTGCAGGACATCATATGTAACCCACAAGGCACAAGAAAACCAGAATAGAAGCCAGCACCTTGCCCTTATCCTGGGATGAGTGCCAATAGCAAAAAATAAAAAGAGTTGTTTTAGGCTAAAAATCAATGTCTCTCCTCCTCACAAGGTAAAAGACATGCTACTCCCAAACCACTCGTAGTCTTTCTATGCGCTCTCCCCAACCTTCCCCTAGATTCTGGTTGAACAATTGCCTGTTTGCTCATGACCCAGGCTGAGCTGGGGAGAACAGACCACCTATGCCATGCCATGCCATGCCATCTAAAGGGTCTTCAAGTAACAGAAACTTTCCCGGAACAGGAAGTGGGTAGGCTATCGCAAAGTTGGCAGAAGTTCTGCAAAAGGTGTTTCATGGAGGTCTGGGACCAGGTCTGAGACAAAAAAAGAGTTCCAGGCTCAAAGACGTTTGGACATGCTGGGTTGATGGAAGGTTAACAGTTAATGCGGGACTTCTCAGAGCCTTTAATACACTGAAGTGCTGCAGAGCTCCTGCAAGCGTTTACAGCTTTTTGGTTTGTCTATTTGTATGCCTTGCAGATTCTCTCAACAGTGTGTAAACCCCTAGGGACTTCCATATGCAAGTAACTAGCTAAATATGCAGACTGCTCACCTAACTAGCAATAGAGGGCAGTATCAGAGGCAGTATCAGAGGCAGTATCGGAGCTTTCAAATCCCAAATTGTCCCATCTCTCCTGGATTACTACAGAAACAGACCAACCAAAACCCTACAGGGAAAGAAAAGGAAGTGCAGCAAAGAGACAAAAGACAGGGAAAGAAAGGTTAACTCAGATTTTCCTTATCCTAAGATCAATGTCAACAATAAG